AGATAATTTTCTTAAAATGGTTTTCTGATTGACTCATCATATGTTTTGCTTTCTCTCATTTGCTGTTTAATTCTTCTAGAGTATTTGATTTCAGGGCTTTTATTTTTTTCTCTTATGTCTATTTGATTCATTTCAAGGTCTACTTAGGGTTTTTTTTGTTGTTGTTTGGTCGTTTTTTAATGGTACTCTTTTTTTTTCCCCCTATGATATTTCTTTTTCCACCTAATTCTTTAATCATTTAAAGCAAACTTTTTGGGGGGTGGGAGAAGTGGAGGTGCTTGGTATCAACCAAGGGCTTTGTGCATTCCAGAGGCAAGAGCTATACCAGTGAGCTGCATTCCTAACCCCAAATATATAGCTTTAAAAGACTTTCTTAAAAATATCTTTTCATTGTTGATGGACCTTTACTTTATTTATGTGTTATGTGGTGCTGAAAATCAAACCCCGTGCCTCACATGCTAGGTAAGTGCTCTACCACTTAGCCACAATCGCAGCCCAGCTTTAGACTTTTTATAACTTCAGATTTTACAATTATGGGGTTCTTAGGGTTACTAACATTCCTATTTTCTATATAATATATGTTAGTGTTTGCTGATGCTATGTTCTTTTTCTTTGTGTGAGTCAAAGTTTTTGGTTGTGGGAGAGTCTTTAGTTGATTTATTTTTTTCTTCTATGAAAATCTCTGTGGTAATTTTGTGTTTGCTTTGCTAGGTTAGCCACTGTATCATCAGCATCTAACATCTTCTAATGTGTTTGTTGCTTTGGGGAATTCCTTTTTAAGAAAGGAAGAGAAAATTCAGAATCCAAACATTTATAATTTTCCCATCAAAATACCTGAATAGGTAGACTTCCTTGTTAAATATATCTGTTATATGGAATTATGATTTTATTTCGCTTTCCACTGAGGTTATAGTCTTCTAAGGGGCTCACTTTTCTGAAGTTCTTTTCCTCCCCCTGCACACGAGTCTAGCTTCTTTTTTGGTGTGGAGTAGGGATACCGGGGATTGCACTCAACCACTGAGCCACATTCCCAGCCCTATTTTGTATTTTATTTAGAGACAGGATCTCACTGAGTTGCTTAGCACCTCGCTTTTGCTGAGACTGGCTTTTGAACTGGAGATCCTCCTGCCTCAGCCTCCCAAGCCACTGGAATTACAGCTTCTTGACTATAAGAGACTCAAAGCTTTAAAATTTGGAAGTGCTGTTTTCTCTTACCCCTGGATATTTTATTGTTGACTTGTGGGCCTACCACTCTTTCAGTTCCGTAGTGACTGTTGACATTTGAAAAAAAATTTTTTTTACATAATTTTTAGTGTACTTTAAAATATTTTTGTAATATTTTCTAATATTTGTAATTTTATAAAAGCTTAAAAACTGATGATTTTGGAGTTTAATGGCTTTGCATGATACTTAATTCTTCAAAGACGCAAACATTTTAAAGATGTGATCAATAATGTGTAGCAAAATGAGAGCCATGTATACTATCTTA